ATAATGAATCTTGATGGACGAATCAAAGCAGGTTTATTTGGTGGAGTTTGCAGCCAGAAGCTCCTGCAGAAGGTTTATGACGTTGATTTAATGTGTTCCTGTAACTTTCTCACCTGGATTCTTCTTTCCTTTCAAGTATCCAACAACGTTGTAAATCTTCTTATAGGTCATCTGGTTTCCTATAGTCAGAGTAATCTTCTTTCCATCTGGGACAAAAAAAAGGAAAAATAGTGACTTCAGAACCAGATTAGAAAAGGTCATTTACATTTGTATTGGTGATCAGGTGCAACACAAGCCGACTTGTGGTTGACTTCGTAAACATTTGCACACGTTTTTAGGTCTTTCTTCTCTGTTTTTCTTTTCCCAATGCGAAGCGTCAGCAGGGAACTGAGTCTTATTAAAGAGGCTAGTAGCATTATTCTAATCCTTGGAATAAAAATAATAATAATAACAACAGCTGTTTCTAAACGATTCCAAAATCCTCCACATACTCATTTGTAAATGTGATGGATTTAAAGTTTTAATCTTTTTTAGTCTTTACCTCCATAAAAACAGAAGCAAGATGTTAAGATTAGAGTTTAAATGGAATTTCTTCTCCTTACTCTGAAATATTGGTTGAAAACTTTCCCTTTAGTCCATAATGAAAATAAAAGATACTTGATCTCATTCTTTATCGACCAAAACACAAAAAAAGAAAACTTAATCTCAGTGCATCAAAGCAAAGTTTCCTCCACCAAAGCCTGTAGTTAAGGAAACACTGTATGAGTCATAATTAGTTCATTATCTATATCCAATGTTTTCTAGTAATAATTGGCAATAATAACCAGGACTGAGGTCAGCATCTAAATACAGGAATATTTCAAACTTGGAGCATCAAAATAAAGACTTTAAATTTTGTTTAAATTTTTTAAACCAAACGTTAATTCAAAACAACAAGAAAAACCAAATGCAGTAACTGGAGCAACAGCAAATGTAAAAATCCCAGAATCCAAATCTAGTCTGCAGTAAAATTGGATTATTAGAAATTGTTTAATGCTGCTTATATTTTCATACTTTCTGACCGTTATTAACATCAGTCTAACTGCTTTGGGGTGCCGATGTTTTCGGACTGATTCTTGGAGTCGATGTTGCTTTTTTCCTTCTTATTACATAATAAAAATCACACAGATTCCAAAATTAAAACAACCAAAAATAAAAACATTCACTGATGACTCAAACTAAAAAACAATGGATCATAAAAGGAGGCAGTAATGAGCTTCATGGGATCTTTATTTTATTTAAACCTTTCTAGGTGGGTCCCCCTTTTGTTTACAGTAATTTTTTTGT